CATAACCTAGATCAAATCATATTAGAGCGAAGCCAAATGTTCTTAGTTTACGTCCCTTACTTCACGCCTATACATGGAGATAAGTAGTTATCGACGAAGCCACTCATATCTACCCCATCTCATATTAAGTACATACTCTCATTTCGCACCACCAGCACCAGTAGTAATATTATGGCAACATAAAAGTTAAGAACAACCTCAAGCCAATCTGAGGTTCTAAATAAATTTGGCATGTATTTTCTTCGAGTCTTGTGTAACCTTGAAAGATCGCCTTTGCGTCCCAGCTCTACCAAAATTGTTTTCTTTTCTTTTTACATTCTATATCCACCCTTACATGGGAGTAAACATATAACATTGGTTCCTTTGGCTATACTATATATGTAGCCCTTAGAGAAACACTACAAATTCGACTCATATTCGAGCCTTCTTTAAGATATTGGACGACTCTGGCTTCCAAAATTCAAACAGGGCCTCTAGATTCTCAAGATGCTTTATTTTGAGTTGCTCTTGCTGCTTTGTTGATGATGTCTCTTCCAGAACTCTTGCAGTATGAGCTATGGCTGTAAGATGGATTGCGTTGCCTGTTACAATGTCTCTAGCTTTCAAGGTACGAGTCTTGAGAAATGGACTTTTTGGCAAATAGAGCTCGCATAAATCCCGCGAACCTGGAAACTTTCTTGGTTTTCTTTGTAACATAGTTATCTGTAATTGCAGCCAGTTTGAAATGCAATAGCTAAGTATTTTGCTTCAATATGTAGTATTAAATATATTAGCTAAATTATTACTTAGTTTTATTTATAATCGTAAGTTAATTTAGTATGCAAAATATAATTTAAATATAATATATACTTTCTATATAAAATATAGCTATAATCTTAGATAGGGTTAAAGGCTACTTGCCTAGTTAAATAAATATAAAAGAAACTTTTATAAATAGAGGCTAATAGGTAGACAGGTACCCGTCCTAGTTCCTATTTTTAGTATAATTTTCTCTACTATTGGACTACCTACGCCTTTTTGTTCCACCGCCTCAAGTAGTTTAACAAGTCCCAATTAGCAGCTATCTGAGTTCCAAATTTACCTCAAATTCTACTAGAGCTAGAGCTGGACTACAATACGGCTTTCTTCCTGTTCCGCGGCGTAGTACATCGCTTCTTGTTGTCATCGAAGCACAAGTAGCTCAAGAGACCGAGAACAGGCGGTTGTTCACAAGTAGAAGAGGTATGGGCGAGCTCTGGGAAATGGCCCAGCAGGATATTGATGATCACTTTCTGCTTTACCCCAGACTAGGTAGCCATCATCTCTTCTCTGGTCCACTCTCCTTGACCCCTGGAGGAGGCGCAACGCCTCCTCATCTACTTATAATCAATACACCAGCTGCAGCTTTCCTTCGGGTACCGTAACGGTTGGCTCATTGCTTTTCGATACTGGCGGTTACCAAGCCAGGTTCCCGGGGGCTGGGCTTATTATCAGTCATCTCTTCACTTGACGTATCTCTCATAGATGGCTCGTAGATCGTCATACCTCAGATGTGTAGTTAAGTCTGGAGCCGGATCTCTCGAGAGTAACGGTGATGACACTGGCAGTGTATAAATAGATGTTGTAGGTGATAGTCAACTGGAACGGCAGATCATAATTCAGGCTCAAACTCAAAAGTTTCTAAGCTTATGACTGGTTGCCACTGTAGTTCATCGAACGTTGTTACTGATGGCCTTGGTTGCTTAGGGGCCGCGAAGGGGCTCCACTGAAAGTCTTCCAAATACGTCTGCTCTAGCAGCTGACCGAGAATTTCCGGCCTTGCACTTTGCGAAGAACTATCGTGTTCGACAGATATTATGACGGCTGACACTAGCCTCTTCGAATGTTCCCATTGATTAATGGCCGTCCTTTCAGGCATTCACTATCCATTTCACTATCTTGCTAGGATTGAAAGTCCCCGTGGCCCTCCAATTTCTTTGTTTAGGGCCCTTTCTGGCCAAATTAGTCGTGATCCTTGTTCTCTATGTGTGTTGTAACCAACTTGGTAAGTTGAAAAAGCATGAAGTCGAGGGGCAGGGTCCAGGACGCCATTACCCCATAACATAAGTCAAGGCGTCTAATTGGGCTTTACATCAGTAGTAATAGACGTGAAAAAGTACATAGACACTTTGATTTCTGACCTCATGATCGACTTTCGGAATTTCAGCCTGTGACGAATACTCTTTCGTTGTGAAGCCTTCGTCTACTCCCCGTCAGGCGCCTAACCAGCAGCCAAATCTGGCTAAGCCGAAGCGCCAGCCTTGTAACCTAATAGCTCTTGCATCTTAGTTCTGGATAAAATACTACTAGTACTCAAAGCTGTCGGGGAAGGTCACTCTGTGTTATCAACAA